GAAAGAGATCTCTGGCGAAAACCACAGGCCTCCCCATCCTCCCATAAGAGCAAGTTCATCTGAGGCAGGGCTAGTCTGAGTAAATGCACTGTCTTCACACTCGTGTTGTCTGGGAAGTGGGCCAGGTCAAGGCCTGTGGCTCAGAGCTGCAATCTGCTGTCCTAGGAATGACATCTGCAATGCAACCAGCCAAGTGTAGAACTGCTCCCCGCGCCCCCAGGCTGGGACTATCCAACTCTGCTGTTAAGTTCCAGATGGCCAAGGTGGGGTCCTCCCCTCCAGGACTTTACACGTATTAGCCCCATGAAGGTTTACTGACTGTTTACCTGCAGGCCTCTGAAACACTATGCGGTCCACAAAGAAATCAGCTAAGGAGCCCAAACACGCTCCACGACTCTCAGAGACAGTGCATATTTGGAAGCAATCACTTTTACGAACACTTTATGGCTTAATTTTTTTTGTCTAAGTACACTAAGCATTTCGAAGATGCTTTCATGAAGATTAATCATATCACTAACCACTGATTTGCTGCAAGTACTTTAAAAACCACAGCAGAGATGTGAGTTCACTCTCAGAGGAAGACAAGGTGGGTCTCCTTTCTGAACAGACAACTCAGGTTGATGGCAACTATTTCTCTGAATCAAAGTCAGATTAAAACCTAGTGAATCTATCTGACCTCAAAAATAAACATTTTTAAAAAGGTTCTGTTCCTCAAAAAAGACAAATGTAATAAACACAAAAAATTTTTCTCTAGCTTTCTGAAATAAATGGCCCATATTTCATAACGCCTTTTAAGTATCCATGTTGTTGTTTCGCTTTTTTTTTTTAGAATTATCAAATATCATGTATATTTTCCAGCAACGAAAAGATATCTTAAGAGGTGTTCACCAAGAAATGAACTGTGCCCTCATTTGGTTGTTCCATTTTTAATACTGACTTAGTGCTAAAGGCACATTCATGCCATGCTAACCTGATTCAGCCAGAACACTGACAAGCACACAAGTATTATCATTAGTTTTCGTTTTTTTTTAATTTAGAAACAATCAGGAACTTACAAACAGCTGAAGTACAATACAAAACATTTTTTCCTAACCTAGGTGAGAATGAGCTGCTGACCTGATGCTCCATCACTTCTAAATATTTTAATGTGTATTTCCTGCAAATAAGGCCTTTCTCCTAAATAACCACAACACAATCATCAAGACAAGAAATGAACTCTTGACGCACCACCCCCACCCAACCCTCAGACTCACTGTCCCCATGAAGTTCTTAACAGCAGATGGGAGTGACCCCTGGCATTCAGTCATCAGGTCTCCTTAGCCTCCTTCAGTCTGGAATGGCTCCTCAACCTCTCCTGGATGTTCATGACAGGAACATGAACTTTTCACTGTTGAAGAGTAGGGGCCAGGGAATTTACAGAATGCCCCTCAATTTGCCTTTGTCTGATTAGCTTCAGATTACACACCCCTAGCAGGAATAGCACAGATATCACTGAACCCTGCATCCCATCAGGCAGACATAATTCTGGTTTGCTCCATCACTGGTGATATTCCTTTGATCACTGGATTAAGAGGGTGTCTGTCAGGCTTCTCCTATGACGTTACTCTTTTCCTCTCTGTAATTAATAAGTATTTTGTAGGGAGCTACTTTGAAACTATGTGAAAAACCTGCTCTTCATCAGTTTTCAATGTATTCATTTATCAGTGAGAACTCAAGATCTCCCATTTCATTCAATGGTCTATAATCCATTACTACAATTCATTCATTTTGATGCTTATCCTGTCCCTGGTGTGGCCAGGGGAAGCTGGCTTCTGTGTCCTTCTGACACTCTTTGAGCACTTCCTTGCTTTCTGGCACAAGAAGATCTTGTACTTTCTTGTCCTAGCTTTGGAATCAGCCATCTCTCCTGAAGAGCTCTGCTTCATTTTAGTGGAGAATGGCATTTAGAAGCCAAGATCTGGGTGCTAGGTATGCTCAGAGCTAAGGAGTGTATGAATGTGTATGTGGGTGTGCATGTGTATGTACATAAATATACTACATAGATATGCTACACGTACATACACACAACAAAATTTATTCCTATATCTATCTACATATTGAAATGCACGCATTTAACCAACACCTCCTATTTCAGGGTTCAATCTAATTTTCTCCCTTTTCATATCTGTAACTCCATTCTCCAACAGTGAGAACCTTGGCTTCCATTATCTTTAATATATTTACTTATTTGATCAACCTGCCTGTATGTAACCATATCCCATCTCAGCTACCCTGCACGTCTCACCCTGCTGAGGTTCTGACTCTCTGTGCTGGGCTGCGCAGGGAGTATTACTATTTTATGATAAGAGTACTATAAAAACCAATCTTCGAGTTTTGTACAACTCACAGCAAATTCTTGTTTTATAACTATTCTTAATTATGTAAGGCCCCCCTGTCTGTGTCTACTGAATAAAATGAACCTCTAATAATGACTGAACACCTACTATGTGCCACGCACTATCATAATGAATGCTCACAAGGACCCTATGTGGTGGCCATTGCCATTCCTCCCATTTTATAGATGCGGAAAGTGAGGCACAAAGAAATTAAGTAACTTGCCTAAAATCACACAGAGGGATTCAAACCCAAGTAGTCTGAGTCCCCCTCACTTTCTGCTTTCCAAATGAATGATATAGGTGAGATAAGTAAATAACAACTGATCATGGGTAAGTAGTAAAGGATGATGATCATTCTATTTATACAGTGCTGTTTAAAGTTAAGAAAACCTGGAAATCATTTAAGTGCCCAGCAGTGAGGAACTGGTTAAATCAAGTATGAAGAGTCCATAAAGTATTTACTAAAATTACTGCAGAATGTAAGAGAATTATTAAATTAATAAAACTGGCAAAATTTTAGCAACAGGAGAAATTGTTCATATTTGTAATGAGGGGAAAAATAACAGTAAGTCACCAACTATTCTAGAATGTGCTCTAAATTTTTCACCTCCCCACTAACCTGTCCCTTCTTTGTTATGAGGCCTGGCTTGTTCTGTCCTGTAGAGCCAGGAACTATTTTCCAGTCCCAGGCACAAAAACATTAAATAAAAGCGAAGTAATCTTACCAAAATATCTTTTATTGCAATTCTCATCACTTTTTCAGTCTCATTTATTTCCAGAGGTCTGGCAATTGCTTCTGTTCTCAGTTCCTATTGGAAACAATGAAGCGAAATTATTTTTTCAGAAGACGAATTCTCAAGACCAATTCCCCTGTCTAGATATGGCTTATGGACTGGTTCTCAAAAGCTTCATTACTGTGTGGGTCTCTGATGCAAAAGCACTCCCACCATCACGTCTTCCAAGTGTCTTCTGTAATCCTCCGGCCAGCCTGGACTCTCTCCAGTGCTCAAGGTCCCCCTCTCCAGCCACAGGCCCCCTGTACCCTAACACCATAGGAACCTGAACTCACCATCCAGAATCTTTTCTCCAAAATTTGCTTCTTTTACTTGCATTCCATTCAGGTGACCCCAAACCAAGTGCAGCTCAACTTGCTGTCTGAACCCCCTGCCAGCCTGTACAATCTTCTTTGTGATCACGTCCCTCTAAGTTGCCCATTACTGACAACTGTAACCAATGAGAAGAATCAGCTCGGCCCTGCCCCTAGCACTAACCACTAACCATCAAGGAAGGCACCTGTGCCTATCATATCAGTATTAGAAATTTCCGAGACATGGGACTTCATTGCGGATGCAGTTATGGGGTTCCTGGAACACTTTATCAAATCCTGTCTTGTGCTTCCTTTATTCCACAGTGTACATTACCTCCCCCACAGTGGAAAACTATTGAGGGCAGGGACCGTGACTTACTCAAGGACACAGAGCACAGTGCCTTCCTTGCCTGTGGTTGGTGTTGGTCCTCAATGAATATTTTGTTGAGTGTATGAAAAACATATATTGGATAGGGGATCTTCCTCAGATCATGACTGTACACAGAATTTGAGAAGTCCTACATTCAGGGTCTCTTGGCTTCCAATGGCAACAGTTTGGCCTCTGATTGCTCCATCAATTCATTACAGGACAGTACTAAAAGAGCCCCCAGGGGAATCCTGGTGAGCCTCACAATGAAGCCAGGGCTCTGCTGGCAAATAGCAAGTGACCAGCTCCTGTCTTTGGGACTGTGAGGAACACGTGTAGACGTGTGCACTATTGCACTATAAACAGAAAACATGGAAAGCCGGGAGCTGCCTCACTGCTTATCTAAATTAGCTGTCAGACATTATGTCAGGTTTGTTCTGCCAACTACACTTCACCAGGTGGCAATATATCAAGAGCAGGGATGGTGAGCTAGCACCAAGTCCCCCACTTCCATTCTGTTCCTAGGGCAGAAATGAAAAATTCCATTACACTGTAGCAGCAATGCCAGAACACAGGCAAGGCAGTGAGAGAGAAGTCATGGATGATACACCTGATGGGAATGGAATGAACTAAGTGCATTTACTTCAAAAACATTAGATATGAGCATGTATGCTTCAAATGCCATAAATCCTCACAGGTAAGAATTAAACAGCACTCCATTTCTTCTCCAACCAGTAGGTCCAAAACTCTGCTGCTCGTTGGAATCACCTGGAGATATTTAAAAATCTGGCTCTCACCCCCAAACATTTTGACCCACTGGTATGGGGGATGACCTGGATGCCGGGTGATTTAAAAAGCTCTATAGGAGCTCCAAGGGTGTTTTACGAACCCACTCTTCAACAGCTCCTTAAACACAGTGGATAGAGCATCCTCCTTGACTGGCATGGGCTAGAATAAGGACTGCAAATAAGTTTCAACTTTAACATCAACTTCAAATGATTGGTAGTGACTACCTAGATTAATGACTGGTTCCCAAACTCTGCTGTACGTTAGAACCACCCAGGAGACTTAAAACTCCCAGTGCCCAAGTCACATTTCATACCAATGACATCAGCATGGAAGCCAGACATCAGTAGTTTGTAAAGATCCCCAGGTGATTCCACTGGGCAACAAGATTTGGGAACCACAGGCTCAGAAGAGCATTTTGTTGGGAAGAATGCCAAGGCTGAGTGTACCGGGGGAAAGCATCATGATTAATAAAGTCTGCCACGGGCACAAGGAGGAAAGTTTCAGCAACAGGCACATATTTGCCATTCCTGAACTAGATGTCAAAGGTATTAGGAACAGACCAGAGCCCACCAGAAGCACGAACAGCAGCAAACACCATATGTATATTACTTTCCCACACAGTAGCTCATTTAATATCAGGTACCGTTTAATGAAATCAAAAGAACAGGGAAAAACAGAATTGGAAAAGAAACCTTGGAAATCTGCTTAGCTAAGGAGGTAACTGAGTTATCTGAACACTGCTTACCCTCAGCTCCACCTCCTTGCCCAGCAAGTCATACAGAGATGCTCCCTTGGAAGTGATTTCAGAAGCAAGCTGCCTGGCTGCTTTCAAATCTGCAATCTGGAAGGAAAATATCAAAAACAGAAACTTCAGTGACAGGTTTTTATTAGGCATTCAGAAAGAATCAATCTGTTCATATCGGTTCCCACCTCTAGTCAGGATACTTGACTTACTTGACTATAGAACACATTTTCCACAAGACACGTATTTATATCCTGGAGAAGAGAGTTCCCAAAACATCAGTTTAGGAAACACTGATCTAAGTACAAATTAGCCCAATTCCAGGCCACCTGAAAAACCCAAATGTCAGGTCAAATGTACTCTGCAACAAGGAGGTGTGGGGGTTGTGAACGTTGACACGCTTCCTATAATAAGGGATCCTGGCAGTGGTGGGATGAGCAAAGGAGGGGCAACCTGAGGGACACATGCCTACCGCAGAACCCTGATGCCCTATGTTTAACCCTCCCTGTCCCCTCATTCTCTGCCTTCAGGCTGCACTTCACTGGCTGCTGTGAGCTCAAATGAGCTCACAGGCATGAAGGCCTTACAAGCTCCCACAAGGCACTGCTGTGAAGATGACGATGATCTGGCCCTGGACACAGCTTCTTTCTTAGGATCTACACATCACACCCTCTTCCATGAATACGCTAAACTTCCAAACAGCCCAAACATTTCCCAGCTCAGCTCCCTCTCCCTCTCCCCAAAACAATGAATTCCCACCCTCTTTCATTTTCAAACCACTGACAACTCCCGCTCTTCGTTCACAGCTGACTTCCTTCCCATTTCCTCAATCCTCAGGACACCTCTCAAATAGCTGCTTCCTCACCAGCAGCGAGTTCCCAGCTCTCTCTCTGGGAGTCCTCTCATCCGCCCCACTTCTCAGCACTGAAGTTCAGCAGAGTCCAGCCGCACACCACCCCCCACCCCGGACCTCCCTTCCACACACACTCCCCGCAAGCTCTCAGCTCTGATACCAAGATTAAAGCCGTGAGCTGAGGCTTGACATCTCCACTTGGACACCTCGTGGACGTCGCAAACATAACATGTCCCAAACCAAACTCATCTTTCCTGCCAGACCTGCTCCTTCCAAACTCTTCTCCACTTCAGTAGACGGCAACTTTGTCCTTGCAGGAACTCACACCCAAAACTTTAGAGCCATGATATCTAATGTCGTGCCCACTAGTCACATGTGGCCATTTTCAATGTTAAACCATTCAAAATTTAATAAAACTTAAAACTAAGTTCCTTGGTTATGCTGGCAACACGTGGCTAGCGACTACCGTATCGCGTGGCAGAGACACAGAACACATCCACCAGCACGGAAAGTGCTACCAGACAGAGCTGCTACAGGACCTTCCTTGTTCTGTCTGCTTTCTTCCAACCTACACCCAATCCATAAGACCTACCTTCAAAATATGCTCTAACCTCTGACCACTTCCTCCCAGTGAGGATCTGGCTCCTGTGTATGGTTTTTCAGGCCTGACCACAGGCAATCCCGGAGGCTTTACCTGGCAGGCCTCCTGGGGAAAGCTGTGCTCGAACACCAGTGCCCTGCAGTCTCTGAAGAGAGTTGCAGTCAAGGAACCAGGCCCTCTGGCCAGTCATGTTCTCATAAAGACCTGCATTCCTAGGTCTCTTTATCTGAGGCCTTGGGTCCAGGTCCTCTTCAGTGCCTCTGCTGAGGCTTCCTTATTGGGGAAGGTGGGGCAAACACCTTCTCCCACACCTCAGGGGGCATTAAAACTGCCAAAGCAGTCTTATGAAACAGGGAGTTGACACTTCCTCTGGCTTTAGCCCCTTGCTTATACCACTGCAGTTAGTGATTAAAGACACAGCTTTCATGTTTGGCTTGTTGCTTTAATAGAGTCCTCCGACGCCTGGCAGCTCACTCTCTCCCCAAGCTCAGCTGAGCACCTGACGGCCACTCTGCTCAAAGGCGCTGTCACCTCCTGCTTTCTAACAGGTCTCTGGGCTTCCACCTTTTTTCCCCCTTCAGTCTGACTCAATCCAGCAGCCAGAGTGATCCTTTTAATATGAAGTTTCAAATTATGTACTTCTTTGTTCAAAACTCAACGATTTTCCACCTCAAAGTCTTGACAGTGGCTTTCCAGGGACGACAGGCCTGAGGCTGCCTCCCCTCCCAGCTCTCATCACATGGCCCCCTTGTGTTTCCTCAAACACACACAGCACACCTTTCCACTGAATGGTTTGCTCCTTCCCTCCTTCAGATCTCTGCTGAAACCGTCACCCAATCCCTGAGGCTGTCCTAGCCCTCTATTTAAGACACCTCCCCCGGAACCCCAGCCCCTTCCCTGCTTTACTATCCTCCACACATGCAGCCCATCTGACCTGTCACTCCTGTTTACAGTCTGGCTCCCCCAACTGAGCCGCGGGAACAGAGGATTCCTGTCCTTGTTGTTCACGCCTGTATCCCCAGTGCTTGAAGAGTGCCTGGCAAATAGCAGCAGGCTTTCAATAAAAAGTTGAATTTATTGTCCCTTCTGCTTTGATGCAAATGCTGATGAGCACAAAACTAACAAATGGCCCTCAGTCAAGGAGTAAGGAAAGAAGTGATGCTGTATTGATATAGCCCATTTCAGTGTTTAAGAAATAAACATTCCATCCCTCACTACAAGCCTTGCATTGTCCTTACCTTTGAGCTAAGGTCAAACTTGAATTTGCTGATATCTTCCTCTCCTATTTTAGAGTCCTCCATACCTTTGGTCTTCATAGCATTATAAAGGACAGAGGTGATCTTCAATAGTTCTTTCACTGCATACCCATCTGCTTGATAAAGCTTCTTAGTATTGAGTTTTATATGTGCCTTAGTGGCCTATTTTCAGATTAAAAAAAAAAAAGTTTAAGACCCATTCCACACGAAATCTAAACCAAATTCCATGTAGGTCATTTGAAAATGTCACTGCCAACAACAGGGATATAACCAAAGCATTTTAAGAATCAAACTTTCAAGTTGCTCATATATTGCAAGTGGGTATGTTGACTGATAACAATCTTGATGGAGAGCAATTTGGTAAATGACAACAAAATTAATTACAAATGCATGTGTCTTTTGGCCCAGCAATTCCAATCCTAAGAACTTATGCTAGGGATATACATATTCACAAACAAAATGATGTGTGTAGGTTATTTGTTACAGCATTGCTTCTAAGAACAAAAGTTACCAACAACCTAAATGCCTACCTGTATAAATTACATAAGTTATGGTATAAACTTGCAAGCAATACTACTCAGGTGTAAGAGAGGATAAAGAAACTATGTGTATTTGAAAAGTTCTCCAAAATGTACTGTTACAAGAAGACAAGATTCTAAATGGTGATGTGCAGTATGCCACCATTTGTGTAAGAGGAAGGAAAAGGAATATACAGTCTATTTGCTTAATTATGCCTAAAGAAACTCTGAAAGATATTAAGAACAGTGATCACTGGGAATGGAACTGAGCTGATGGCACAGAATAGAAAGTCATTTTACTCTATATTGTTTCATGATTTAAAAAAATTTTTGAACCATAAAATATATTACCTATTCAAAAATAAGTAAATAAAATTCTTTTTGAAAATCTGCATGCTATTTAATTTCCATTAGAAAAATATTATCTATATAAAATTTTGGTCCAGTTTCTTCTCCTTTAGCTCTACTAGGTTTGAATACTTAAATACTTTAATTTTACTCAAGTAAAAGCAGGATCATATATCTGACATGAAAAATAAATATTTCAGATGATTAAATTAATCGCGTTTAATTAGGTGTGCTCTTTATTATTCTCAGGAATAGTAACTCATCTTTCCTGTATGTTACTTTCCTTTACTTTTATTTATCTGAGTAACTATGTAATGCATGTCTCTTTTCCCACGTCCAGTAATACGAGTGTTATGTAAGCATAATTTGTAACATCAATAACTAGATTCATCATTAATCTTCAATTTATGTTCAATTCCCCTTATTATATGGCATTTCCATAATAACTTCAGATATTTCAGTCATCCTTACACTTTGCAACAAAGACTGTAAAAATTAAGATGTTAATTTAAAAACATTTTTAAAATTCCAGACTAAATAACCCTGGGCCCACTTAAAGTGATGCTGTCACAAGATGTCCTGGAACGGCTATTGCTTCAATTTCAACATGGCCTCCTTTGGGCAAAGCAGCAACCTGGTAAGCAGCTCTCACAGGAAAACTACTCTGGAAATATTGCCTGTAGATGTCATTGACAGTATGTCAGCCAGCAGTTGTATTTATCACATTCGTGAACTCACAGCCTACTGCTTTCAGAATTTCACCCATGTTTGTAAGAGCCTGTTTAGACTCTTCTGCCACCCCTCCTGGCACAAGCTGTCCATTTGCAGGGTCCATGCCTAGCTGTACTGAAACGTAAATGGTCCTGCCAACTAACACAGCCTGACTGTAGGGACTGTAGGGACCAATGGCCGCTGGGGCATGGGCCTCTAAATTTCTTAACAAATAATAAATTAAAAACAAAAAACCCAGAAAACTTTGTTGGTAAAATGGCTCCACAGAAATCTGGTAATGGAGTGTGTTTAGAAATCTGGAACTTCCCTGGTGGCCCAGTGGTTAAGAATCCGTCCGCCAATGCAGGCGACGTGGGTTTGATCCCTGGTCCGGGAAGATCCCACATGCCACAGAGCAACTAAGCCCATGTACCACAACTACTGAGCCTGCGCCCTAGAGCCCGCAAGCCACAACTACTGAGCCCATGTGCCACAACTACTGAAGCCCGCACGCCTAGAGCCTGTGTTCCGCAACAAGAGAAGCTACAGCGATGAGAAGCCTGTGCACTGCAACAAACAGTAGCCCCCGCTTGCCACAACTAGAGAAAGCCTGCACAGCAACAAAGACCCAACGCAGCCAAAAATAAAATTAATTAATTTTTTAAAAATTAATTAATTTTTTTAAAAAGAGAAGGAAAAAATACTTTTAAAAAAGAAATCTGAAAGCAGCTCTAACTAGGCTTCATCTCCTTCTAATGTATTTAATTTTACAACTCCATCAAAAAACTGTGAACCAACCATGAACTGGGCAATTGTCTTAATGAAGAAAACTCGGTCTTGTTCAGTCTCAACATCAGAAGGGATGTCAGTCTGAGGTTCATACCTATTGCAGAGAGAGAGAGAGAGAGAGAGAGAGAGAGAGAGAGAGGGAGAGAAAACACAAGGTAATTAAGTATAAAGTTCACAAAGGAGAAGGTAAAGCAACTGAGAGGACAGTGGATCTGTAACAGGAAGCTGAGTCCCCAGCTAAGGCAGTAAGAGTAAGAAAGGCTTCAGAAGCAACACAAAATACCAAACATTCAAGAGAACAAATCTTCACCTAAAAATAGGTTTAACAAATTTCAAAAATCAAATTCGGGGCTCAGCTTACAAAATTAAATCTATCTCAGACTGTAAAGTTTCATTAAAATAATCAGAACTATTACTCTGGCTGCCTGCCCTTGACCCAGTGGAGTTCCTTTCTTCGAGTAACTGATGACACACCGGGGTCAGCAGATGGCAGCCCTTGGCCTCTTCCTGAACAGCCCACAAACTAAAAAGGGTTTTTACATTTTTCAAAGGTTATAAAAAACACAAGGAAGAATACATGACAGAGATCTTATGTAGCTTGCAATGCCTAAAATATTGACTATCTCCTTAGCAAAAAAGTTTGCCAACCCTGAATCATATTAGATTTTTCACACAAAATGAAATCTAAATTATTTCCAAGCCAGGTACTCAGCAGAATGTGTGAGGAGGTCCTGTCACTCCCTGATGAAGGTGAGGGGATGAAGAAGAATGCAGACGAGCACCCCTGTGTCGGCTTCCTACTGAGAAACATTCTCCTTTCACCGCTGCCTGGTACACTCCCTTCTCCCACAGCATTCTTTAAACTCAACTGATTTTTAACAGGTTACAACCAAGTCTGTCAAATTTTACTGAACTTTTCCTTTTGCTTCACAAAAGCATGCTGTTTCTAGGTAGCTAACAAATAACATCTCATATTCATTCTTAGACCTCAGTAAAGTGCAGTTCTAACCTTTTCACAAGCCAGAGAAGCACTTCAGATACAAGTCCAAAATTTGGTGTGCGGAAATTTTCCATAGAAATATGTCGAGGGTATCCCAAGGCTCTCATCATCTCTGTAAAGTCTGTCCAAGGTAAAACACAATGTAGTCAGTTCCTCGTCAAACAGCAACGACTTATGAACGCAGACACTTTCTTTGCTTTCTCTTCTTACTCCCAACCTACTGACACTTTTATGGACTATTTATCAACTCTCTAAGAGGGAAAGAAAAAAACAGATAAAAGTTAAAATACCTAATCTGCTTCCTGAAAAACATGTATTTAAATTCAATGGGAGAAGAGGAAACTATACATTGAAATGGGGTTTAGGGATTGGCTGTGAATTTAATTTCTCTCTTGGATACCTCATTTATCTCTTGGATATCTTTCTCTTTACCACTCAAAATGAGAATTACCTGGTCACGGTTTAAATGTTAACCGTGGGGTTTTTTTGGGGGGGAGAGTGATGGTGGTAGGGTGAAGTTTTGTGTGTTATTTCTGTGTTTTTTGTGTTATTTCTGAGTTGACTTTTTTTCCCACTGAGCATATAGGACCTTAATAACACAAAATTTAAACACTAGTTGCATTGTATTTAGAGAAATCTTCAAGAAAATGATTGAACTATTGAGCAATATTTAGATGTATTATGAGACAGACTAAAACAGTAATACTAATACGTGTTGATACCAGATGCTGCAGTCACTAAGCTTTAAGCAAGACTTGGAAATAAAACATCTTTTTAGTTCCCACGATGTGCTAAGACCTGTATTCAGTGTGCTTCTGGCTAAATAATGTCTGTCTTCACTCTTCTTGAAGGTGGATATTCAAGATGTCCCAATGACATTCACAAATAAGCTACTTGGGCCTTGGGGATTAGTCTGGATTTCACAAGACAACAGAAGAGAAGGCATAAGCAGAGGAAAGAGAAGCAAAGGGCCTCTGTTGCTGTTTTGGGGGATATTTAAATAGAGCAACGAAAAATAAAGCAGCAGTCTTCCCATCACACAGTAAGCCCTAAACACTTCTTGCCGCTAAGTAGCAGTGCAGTTCTGTTAATTCTACAGTATTACTGTCAAAATGGAGACAATCTGAATAAGAATCTTACCATGAATTGCATAATGTACAGCATTCATTTAAGGTCAAAATGCTCAGAAATCCCCTTCTTGTACACTTTTCCCAACACAACTCCATTCAACGTCCCCTAGCAGAAGGCTGGCCACCCTCAACTGTGAGGAAGGAGAAACTTGTCTCTACAACATAAGGTCACCAAGAACCTCCAAATCCCAGAGGGCACAGATTCACACAATAGTGCTAATAGGCATCAATAAAATGTGATGCCTCTTCCTATATATTTCCATTATAGAAAAAAGAGCAATTCACAACTGAAAGGAGTAACCTTTAATGGGGAAATTTCAGGCACCAGCAATTGTTAGAAAATTGGCCTTAAAGAGGCCCCTCAGATCACACCAAATTGACAATCACCTGCTACACCTATGCAGGTGGAGCCAGTTGGCTGAACTGCTTCAGATTCAGAAAATGAAAGCGTATAAAAGGCAAGAGACTCCTTCACACAGTCCTACCTTTTGATCCTCGTTTCCACCCAGTTCTAGCTGTGTGACCTAAAGCAAACTAATTTACCTCTCTGCCTCAAAGTATTACATCCAGAAACCTATACGAACCACCTTACTGTTACAGTGAGGACTAAAATAAGATATTGAATGTAAAATGTTTGGTGTGTAACTGGTGTCCCCCAAAGTAGTAGTAACTAATTCTCTTTCCCCCATTCTTCCACTTCCCCACCCTCCTAGCAAAGGCACTTGGGTTCCCTTCTCCTCACCAGCCCTTTTAGACAAGATGCAAGCTTTGGAGGTTAGACAACCTGATTTCACACTTCAGCGCCAGCTCTTACCACCTGTGTCCCCTAACCTGACCTCTCTCTGCCCAGTTCCTCATCTTTAAACACAGGAGCACAGTTGTTCAGAGGAGTGAATGAAACGATGAACACACATAAGACAGTAACTAACTACCTGGCAGATCATAAAAACTCGAAAAAACGGAAGCCTCAATTATTATTCACCAGCCCACTCCTCGGTTGTTGTTCGTTTCCCGGAGCTCTAAGCTAACCCAACTCAAAAACGGTGTCTGCGTTTTCCTATACAGTAGCGAACAGACCCATAAGTCAATTAAAATTATATAAAATTAAGGCTTCGGTTCCTCAGCCGCACTAGCCGCATACACATACACAACCTCCCATCATCGCAGAAAGGGCTATGAGACAGGGCTGGGGAGCTCAGCCTGGGGGGCGGCGGGCCAGGGGCGCCCCCAAGCCGCAGAGGCCCGGGAGGGGGCTCAGACAGGGGACCCGGCGGGCCGGAACCCCGAGTCTCGGGAGGACCGCAGGTCACAGGGGTCAGGGGTGCCTTACTGCGGCGGTCGCGGAAAGACATGGCGCCCTGGTCCTCAGGATCCCGGAGTCTCCGCTGCTCGCCCCTCAGGGCTCATGGGTTTCTATGGCAATGCACGGAGCCCTCTACGGCGCGCAGCCGGGGCCAAACAGGACTGGAGGCGAAACGGCCGGGCTGTGTGCGCATGCTCCATGCGCACCAGAGAAAGGGCAGCCGGCAGGGGGCGTCCCGCGACGCTGAAGGAGGGGGCGTGGGGTCCCGCCCCGCCTGGCGGCCGGACCCACTTTACACAGTTTGCAGACATTTGGCACTGGCTGACACGTCCTAAGGACCTACTAAGTGCCTGACGCTGTGCGAGGCACCCTACGTACTACTTCTCATTTCCTCCTAAACTCCTCTAGAAAGAATGTACATAATATCACGAAGCCGGGTCTCCAGCCTGGGTCCTGTGCCCAGCACACTTCTCTCTGGCATGTGTAAAATGGCTGGCCGCGCCCGCGTCCGAAACCCGCAAGAAGCGCCTGCAGCGTGAAGCAGTTGAGGCCACACATTGCGAGTCGCAGGCAGGGGCTGACTGCGGGGCGGCGAGAGCAGGCCCGACAGCCATCTGCGTGTGCGCAGCCGTCTCGATCTTCACAACAGGCCGGAAACTGGCCCGGGTCTTCGCGCGCCGGCGGTTGTCCGGGCAACCGTGAACTCTGGCAGCTGGAGTTGTCGTTGCTCCTGGTGGAGGGAGGGGGCGGCTCCGGGGTGAGGACCGCGACCAACATGTGGCCAGATAAGCTGTGATCTAACTTGGCAGTCCTCTCTACTAGGCTGCCACGGTTGGGGATAGGTGACAGCAAGGGCTGGGGAGGTGAAGTGAGCTGAGCCCAGAAGGGTAGGCGAAGACGAGGGACTACCAACCCGTGGGACGCCCTCCGCCCCTGCATTGGTTTTGGCGAAGTAACAGACACATAAAGGCACGGGACCTCAAAGAGATTCCCGAAATAGACCCACATATATATGGTCATTAGAACAAAGATGGTAGAGCCCTTCAGTGGAGAAAGAATAATCTTTCAGCAAATGGTTTTGGAACAGTTGGAAATGCAAGTAAATGAACCTCCACCCTTGCCTAAGAGTAAAACCTAGAAACTATTGGGTTGGCCAAAAAGTTCGCTAATATCGCACATAAAAACCGGAATGAACTTTTTGGCCAACCGAATATAACTTTTCCAGAAGAAAACTTATGGGGAAAACTTTGTGACTGGGTTAAACAAGAGTTCTTAGATATACCAAAAGTATCATCCTCTTAAAAAATGTTTTTTGATAAATTGCACCTCATCAAAATTTAAAACTGCTCTTCAAGACACTAAGAACATGAAAAGATAACCCAGAGTCTAGAAAAATAAATTCACAAAACACATCTGATAAAAAGCCTTCTATCCAAAATACGTAACGAACTCTCAAAACTCAGTAAAGAAAACCATCCAATTAGAAAGTAGAAAAAGGAACTTCCCTGGTGGTCCAGTGGTTAAGACTCCAAGCTTCCACTGCAGGCGGTATGGGTTCCATCCCTGGTTCAGGAACTAAGATCCTGCGTGCCACACGGCCAGTCAAAAATTGTTTTAAAGAAATTAAAGACAAGAATGTAGACAAAAAACTTAAAACAGATACTTCACAAGGGAAGATATGGCAAATGTCAACAAAAAAATTAATCAATAGTCAATCTAAGAAATGCATAGTTTATTCGGGCCAGCCTGAGGATTATAATCAGGGAGACAGTCTTTCAGAAAGCGCTGAGGATGTTCCAAAGAGGAAAGGGGGAGGCTAGTATGTAGTGATTTTGACTAAGGGGTAGGTGCAGTCAAGCATACATCTTGGTAGAAGGTTACTGCTATTCACGAGGAGCAGATATCTTAGTTGACGGTTGTCGTGCTTTTCTAAGTATGGGAAGATGCAAGAAACTGAGTTCATAAAATTTTCTCCTGAAAATATCTGAGAGCTAGTTCTGCCAGTTTTCCCAGAGCACAAAATGCCTCATCCTGATATTGGCCCTGAATTTCTTTCAGGGTGTGTTGTAAATCAGTGACTGTAGTAACTAATGACTCAATTCTTGTAGAATTGGATGGTGAGCAACATTCTTTGTTTTACAATCTCCTCCTTTTCCATCTTAATTTCTACCAAGGTTTAGGAAGCATTTCATGACCAGTTTGTCCCACGGCTCTAGGAATGCTCATACCCAGGTCAAGCAAGGATTTCATTGATAGGCCACGCAATGTGCTATCACTGGACTGTTAACAGTAGCCAAAAGCCTCTGGACCACCTTGCCTGTCTTTCTAGTCTTTTATGGTCCAGGAAATGGTTCTCTCTTACTGCTTCTTCCCGTATCTAGAGTTACACTATTAATATCATCAATCTTGGAACTTCCCTAGTGGTCCGGTGGTTGGGACTCTGCGCTTTCACCGCCAAGGGCCTAGATTCAGTCCCTGGTCAGGGAACTAAGATCCTGCAAGCCACACGGTGTGGCCAAAAAAAGAAAAAAATCTTCAATGTTATAGAACTATATATTTGATCAATTGTTTCAAGTAGCCTAGTCATTTTTATCAGAGGCTCAGTCACATATTCAGTAATACAAGAAACTATAATCTTGCAAAATAGACAGAATACAAGTAACATTAATAAGGTCCTAAGTAGGTATTTAAGCTAAGAACTTCCATTAGGTGTGGCCCAGTATCTCCCCAGATCATCTGACTCAGTGTGTTCTGCACCACTCGCTATCTTTAAGGGAAATGTTATATTGGCATTGCACACAAAGTTGACCAAAGATATCTGCATCATGACCCCTTACAAGATTGAGAAAGGAATGTTTTCTAAGGAGTTATATAACTGGCATCAGAAGAAGAAAAATTGAGCTTTATGGTTGAGCAGGTATTTCTGCTGTTGGGGAGGTCTGGTTAATGCATAATGCAGATACACAATGCACATTATAGGGGAGAGAGGAGGCCCAAATGGGCAGAAAAAAATTTATGTTTAAATCTTCTTGCCTTGCCTTAAAATATGAATTTTATTTCATTACAAATAGTAAGCAAAGGAAAAGATGCTCAAGATTATTAGTCATTAGAGAAATGCATATTAAACCACAAGATATCACTACACAATTATTAGAATAGCTAAAACAACAAAAAACCACAAAAACCCTGACAGTGCCAAGGACTTGAAAGGATGTGGAGCAAATTGGGCTTTCATACACTATTGGTGAGAATATGAAACTGTACATCCACTTTGAAAAAACAGTTGGTAGTTTCTTAATAAAGTTAAACATACACAACGTACAGCTCAGCAGTTTCTCTCCCAGGTATTTGCCCAAGAGAAATAAAAACTTATGTTCACACAAAACTTATACATAAATGTTGAGAGTAGCTTTATAATTGCCCCAAACTGGAAACCACTCAAGTGCCCCTCAACTTATGAATGGATAAACACATTGTGGTACATTCACACAATGGATTACCACTCAGCAATTTAAAAAAAGCAAAGAGCTAAAATACACAAGGACAATGATGAATCTCCAATGTCTTATGCTAACTGGAAGAAGCCAGACTCAAAAGGCTTCGTACAAGGACTTGAGGACACAGTGGGAGGAGGGGAAGCTAGGACAAAGTGAGAGAGTAGCACTGACATATATACACTACCAAATGTAAAATGGATGGCTAGTGGGAAGCTGCTGCATGCCACAGCGAGATCAGCTCGATGCTTTGTGACGACCTAGAGGAGTGGGATAGGGAGGGTGGGAGGGAGGCTCAAGAGGGAGGGGATATGGCGATATATGTATACATTCACTTTGTTGTACAGCAGAAACCAACACAACATTGTAAAGCAATTATACTCCAATAAACATATTTAAAAAGGGCTTCTCTGGTGGTGCACTGGTTAAGAATCCGCCTGCCAATGCAGGGGACATGGGTTCTAGCCCTGCTCCGGGAAGATTCCACATGCCGCGGAGCACTTAGGCCCGTGCACCACAGCTACTGAGCCTGCGCTCTAGAGCCTGTTAAGCCACAACTACTGAAGCCTGCGCGCCCAGAGCCCATGCTCCACAAGAAGAGAAGCCACCGCAATGAGAAGCCCGCGCACCGCAACGAAGAGTAGCCCCCACTCGCCGCAACTAGAGAAAACCTGCATGCAGCAACGAAGACCCAACGCAGCCAAAAATGATAAATAAAATATATTTTTAAAAAAAGGCTTCATACTGTACGATTCCATTTATGTGACAATCTGAATGAGATGAAGATATAGAGACATAAATCAGTGATTGCCAGGAAGAGTTGGGTGCAAAATAATTTTGGGGGTGATGAAACTGTTCTATATCTTGATTGTGGTGGTAATTACATGACAGTAGCTCTTTGTCAAAACTCATAGATCTGTGCACTAAAAAGGGTTAATTTCACCACATCTAAAATTGTATCTCTTGGGAATTCCCTGGGGGGTCCAGTGGTTAGGACTGGGCGCTTTCACTGCCCTGTCAAACCTGGGGCCCGGGTTCCATCCCTAGTCAGGGAACTAAGATCCCACAAGATGTGTGGCATGGTGAATAGAATAGAATAAAATAAAATATCACTAAGCATGACTAAAAACAAAAAAGCTTAAAAAAAACCAAACTATCCATGGCTTCCCATCGCTGTTCAAAGAAAACTCAGCCCTCTGAGCTGCGCCTGCTGTGCCTCCTCTGCTCCCTTCCCTCCATCTCCCCTCCCTGGCTTCCTGTTGAAAACGCCCACCTTCTTCCTGCTTTCTGGTCTTTGCACAAGTAGTTCGCTCTGTCCGGAGTGCTCTTCCCAAGTTCTTCAGATCTTTGTGAAGAGGCCTCTTGGACCATCTACACCAAAGCAGACCCTTCCCAGCCCCTCCCTGTCACATCACCTTTTATTTTCTTCGTAGTATGACCTGGAAACATCTCGCTTGCTTCTCTTCTGTGTCTCTGATCTGGACATGTATGCGCTGTGGAAACAGATACCTTCTCTGTCCTACTCAACTCTCTCCCCAAGTCTATAATAGTATCTGGCACTACACAGGCTCTCAGAACATACATGTTGAGACTGAATGAGTGAGTCGGAGTACAATGCCT